AGCAGTGGCAGGTCGTGTGGCTTCAAGGTACTTCATGCAAGGATCCTGTCTAAAAACTATGCTCTACTATTCAACAACTTTTTATTTCTTTCGGTAAGATGGCTCAGCCATCTTCCAGGTGAGCTTCTAGTATTATCCAGAGCCAATGCTTTCAGAAGAAATTTGAATGAACTCAATCTGCTAGAAAAGTTGAGATTAGACTACTGATGACCAATTTTTTTAGGAATGTTGATGTGCGTTTGTCGATTTTTCTTTCTTAGTTGCTTGTCATGCTAATATGCAGGACTGGAGCTGGATATCACTCTCGAGTAGTGGTTGCAGTATGTGAAGAACCAGTGGATAATCGTCCTCCTTCGATAACTTTATTTGTGTAACTGCTGTGAATGTTACTAACAAATCTGTTGCACAAAATTGGTACTATACGGCTTATTATAGAGCTGCTTCAACCCTCCCAGGCTCAACGCCTCACTGCAATTTCTTTATCTACTCTCACTTGGTCAGACAAAACACTATGTACTGCCTACTGAATCATTAAGTATGGGACGAGTATGTTTTATATTAGAACCTTCAATGATTTCTTCGCAGGTGCGAGTCAGCCAGTACGCTTCAAGCAATACTTGGGTCCGGGTCTTACGCCCTGGGTTCGTGTTTAGATCAAAGAGGCACCTACTTTGGCCCGCCCGGGAACAACTTCGGTTGGTTGCGTTGCCCAGACTTGCCTGCACTTCTACGGCCGTCATTCAGTATTGAGTCAAACAACTACTGTAGGTAGTCACTGCCTGCTTGAGCCCCTGGCACACTGAGGGCAGTTATTAGTGCTGTGCTGACCTTCTTGAGTCCTACTTTTGTGTAAGGCAGGCTTGGAGTGTTGGAAGCGCGACTCCTTTTTATCTTTTCTTTTTTATCTTTTACCTTTCCTTTTTCAGTTATTATACGAGTTTAGCATTTGTTTCTTTGTTTGTTCTCGTCTTACACGCTTGACCAAACTAACACCTTCTGCCCTGTTTGTGGCGCACCACTGAGTGCACAAACAAATAAATAAATAAATAATGCAAGAGATGGGTATAGAGTATAATCGAAACCGTAGAACTATCAAACATTTTCACAGTAACAATACTTGTAAATATGATAATACTGAGACAAAAAGGTATATTAATAAGAAGAAATATAGAATTATGCTATCATAACAGGATAAAACCAGGACCAGAGCGCGACTTATATATATGTAAAATCCAAAATACACTAAAATCCAATTGATTTTAGAATCTCTTTTTCTCTCTTCACTTTCCTTGTGTCCTCCGTTTCCACTCTTTCAAGCTATATTTCTTTTGCTGGTCACCTTTCCACTCTTATCCTCATTTATTCTAGTCTTTTTCCTAGCCTATTTTTTCGAAGACTTTGGTTTATTCTAGTCAAGTTTTTTTCTATTCCTCTATTCATGCTAATTCATTCACTGATTTCTACATTTTTAGATATTAGTGTTTTATAAATATATTAATCATGACTAACTTTTAAAAATTTTTTCACCATCTTTCAATTATTTTGCTTGTTGCTCACTAACCCCAACTCGCTAAGGAGCCTCGGGAGTTAGTGAGTAACAAAGTTATTCGTCTGAGCAGAGGGAAAAAGAATCACTTATAAGTTTTATGTATGAACAATTTGTTAACACTAACTTTTTCTTTTTGTTCATTAGGAGGCTATAGTTCCAATTTTCGACTTTGTGCCTATTCCATCAAATAAGACCTTCTCGGCAGTCTCATGTGCACTATTTACAGCTTCAAGTAAGTTCAGGGAGTTTTTGACGATAAATCCCCGAATTTCTCGGCTTCCGACGACTTCGCGACTCCTCACAACTTCTGTGTTATTATCCGGGAAATGGATGGGTGCTTTTTACTGGAGCATAATGCCGTTCCTACCAGATTATAAAATTTAGAGATTGTCCACATGCTTACCGCCACAGTACCGTCACACCACCTGTCTTCAGTATATAAGTGACGTAGCCCCACGGCAATTATATCTTCGTTGGTCTACGTCTTCATGCCGCTCACGCGCAGCCAATCTTCTTCTATCGCCGCTCCAGGATCACAGTCGCTTCTGGCAGTACAGGTTGATGTCTCCAATTAAATGGGGTTCTGCTCATATCAAATTGTGGGGTTCAGCTCATACATATTAAATTGTTCGCTGTGGCCACCGCTCTCCTTTTCTTTTGTACAACGAATTATGAAATTTTATGGCAACTTAATGAGCATTTTTTCTGATCATGAACCTCTGACCTTTCCTTACGGCGTAACAAAACTCATGAGACCTAGCGAGGCGGGCTGTTGAAATTCAGAGTTATGGAAATGGAGTATCTGGAAAGCTCATGCAATGTAATAGCCGAGTTTCTCAGCTGCATTGAGCGAGGAGAGGACCGTTTTGTAGATGGCACTCTGCCAGCTGAGGATATCATCGAATTCCCAGCTTGCCCAGTCCAAACACCTGAAACTTCACCTCTGCGTATTCGCCCGTACGACTCACTAGTAGAACAAAAGCAAGACCCACTATGTAGTACCATTATGCACTTTTGAGAACAGGAAACTTCCCTTTTATGGAATCCAAAGCAGACAAAACGAATGCTATGACTATCATGGAATCATGTCATAGCCGTAAGAATGGCTGCCTCTATATTACGCGATGTCGATCGGGACGCAAGTTCGCTTTTCACAACAGTCCAGCCGCATGCGGACACTTTAAGAAAAAGACCTTAGGCAAAATAGCTCGCAAATACTTTGGAGGACTATGAAAGAAAATGTTTTGTATATGTACCTTCTTGTGATACTTGCCAGCATAATCTTCTACTTCTCTATGGATTCCCAGCAAAGGGGATGCTGCTCTTTCCCAGGACGAGGCTACTCCAATTCAACTTGCCGGATATCTTCAGAGAGAGCTCACGTCTCCGTCAACATTTGACTCTTATTTTTCCTAACATAGCTATAACACTCGTTTTCGCGAGAGACTTCTACCGTTTCATCACGCATACATCACCTTTCCTTGTATTCCTTTCTTTTCTTCTATTAATATCATTTACATCATCTCCTCCGGGGCCTCCACCAGTGGGCCAATTCGAAGCGCGAGCGTTGTCAACCGCGAAAGAGCAGCAATCACATAGTCATACTTCTCACGACTCAGATGGGATTCGACGAATAAATAGGTGAGCTTTTTTCTCCTTCTCACTGTCCCCATTTCTCAGACTGAAGACGGACCTTTTTTGAAATGAGAAGAGGTGTAAGAATCTGCAAAAGTCTGTAGGTGGAAGAGTGATCGTAATCGGAAGAGCAGAGCAGTGCACTTAACTGTAAGGAAAGGAAGTGTCTGAGAAGGGAGATCTTATCAGCTGAGTAGGGTTCTAGCCGACAGTGGGAGTGTGGATCAGAGGGAGCCGATTTTCCTTTGACTGTGAAACATTGCTTAACCCATTCGCATGGGAATGTTAGTTCACTGTATCTACGAATCATCTCATCACGCGTATTTAAGGCTCGCCGTCAGCTTCTCGAGGAGTACAGGCGACAACGTCTCCACCCGACCATCAAGCTCTCCGTCCACTGCCGTTGCACCTCCTGCTTGTCATCTATAGGCCCCTCGTCTTCCAACGTCTAGCGCCTTATCTGCTTAATCGCTTATCTCCGTTACTCCATACAAGTGGGCAGATCTCTAATTCTCTGCAAATACGGATAGACGTTATATTCGTACATGTGTGATGCAGAAGCATGAGAGGTCAGCGGTGCGGGCACTCCCGCACCAGATTACTGTACGGATTGTGGAAAGGGCCTGTTCCCACACAAGTTCATTCAACCTTGCAGCGTGGGGCGATTGTAACAATTTACAGAAGAAGCCTTGTCGACGTCACAATTAACTCTCTTCCCCTAACTGCGACCGCTTCATTTCAAACTCTTCTACATGGAAAGTGAGATCAACCTGTCTTAATCTGCTTCCTCTGCGAACAATTCTGTAGCGATATTTACACAATCACGTAACGGTAAACGGGTTAAATAGCCTTCCTCTCAAACTCTATAATTGTTGTTGTGACAATACGGATTTCAAAGTCCCGTGAAGGTCTTATACAGTAACTCTAACACACTCAAGCGCCTCCACACACCCGGCCACATATACGACCCAACAGAAAGGTACCGTGGGTGAGGTACACGGGTGGGAAGTGAGGATGTACGGGTATAAAACCGTGTCACACGTCCACGGAACGCTAAAATCTGACTTCTGTTGTCGTTAGCATACAGCTACCTGCTGGATTTCAAGAGGTAGACTGACCTGATTGTTTTCTTTCTAATTCTTCCTTTCCATGCAATCTTATTCTTCGAACATGCCTTCATCCTATAGTAGTTCCCTTTATTTATTGGCAGTGTAACGCCACTTCGACATCGCGAGGTAATGCGCCGCGCTGCCTCACCGCGACGACGATGGAATCGGAGCGCCCTAAGTCGCATTCAAATATCTATCCGCTGGAAAGTAATTCAACCCGCTGAATCTTCAAATGTATGAAAGCGATCTAGACGCGAATCTTGGGATGTCTCTCTCTTCCCCTGTAGAGCTTATTACATCCCATTTGGAGCGCGCTCGGCCTACCGATCAAGTTCACTACTTCGTATCGAGTCTCGTAAAGTGTTTATCGCGTGGTGATTGCCAATATGAATAGAAACTTAGCTTAATTCAAACCTTTTGAGTATGCTTAAATGTGATAGGTTCTGAACGAATGATTTTCTACTGATTGTATTCGAATGGGACAATGTAGGTTTGTCGATTTTTCAAGCTTCCAAACCTGCTTTCCACTTGCGAAACGACTGACGTCTCATTTCGCTTTTTTTTCACGTCAAAGGTTTCGACTTAACTTTCATGACCGTTTTTTAGGCGTGACTTGTAATATTGTGAGATTTTTCGACAGAAGGAAGCGTTAATTTCTTCTGACAAGAAACCCATTCTTACTGAAGAAAACCTGTGTATATTTTTAGATGGCTGCGGTGAGTAGACGACCCAAAGATGGTAACATGCTTGATTCACTTAGCTTTGCAACACCCGCCGTGGAGTCGATTCGGCAACGTAAGGATTTTTCTCAGCAGACATTCGCTAAATTAAGAAAGGTTTGTGATTCTTCCTTTCCATCTTTTCTGATCCCGCTCACTTACAGAGACTGTTGACCAACTTTTTCATTTCATAACTTTCTTTTACGTACTTTGCTTTTATCAGTGATTTCCTTAGCATGCGAAAATAGAAACAACTACTATTTTATTTTACCTTCGATTTAGGTCTTCATTGTTTAGTGGCTTACTGCCTTATCAATCACGAATAGTATAGGTTGCCTTTCTTCCCCATAGCGAACGACTTGTTTGGCTTGGATACTCTGAGGGACGATGCGTAGCCTTGTGGAAGAGATGTGATGACGTCTCTGAAGTTGTGGAACCCTTCGACGAACTTTTCAGGCTGGAGCTCGACGTCGATCCTTCCGACTTGTGGTAATCTCTACTCTACTATCCCTAAATGACTCCGTTTCGTAAATCATAAGCTGGCTATTGCAGTGCATTTTCACCCGAACTGTTCTGTGTCTCCCTTTCTAGTGGATATATTTTCGTATTTAACAGCAGGAACGACGAATTGGTCAAGGTACGATTGTTTTTCCTAGATTAAGACTTTGTACAGTTCGCAGCTGGTGGAAAATAATCGTTAAGGTTAAAGAGTTTGCTTATGTACATGGAAAGGGGAACTCGCGAGTTCTTTGTGAATTTGACAGTAACAGTATAATTAGGTAAGTTTCGCGTCCTGACTTTTGTTTACTGTTGAAAACATAACTTTTTCTTTCAGTGGGTCCTCCAATGGGTCTCTTGCAAAGGTGGACATCGAATCTGGAAACGTAATTCTTATCTCGAAGGTACGCCCACAGTAATTCTTCCCAAAAGTTCTTTTAAAGACATTACGGAAATAGTGTTACAACGAGGTCGGTTTTCAATCGAGCCCATCCTCAATGTAGTATCGATATCTATTTCAAGGCTTGCTTTTTGTGGAAATTTTGAAGGTAACTAATATTTCCGGTCTGTTTTTAAGGGAAATTCTGGTGTGCGATCAGTTTGCACTCTCTCTGGAGGTACCTTGCTTGCTTCTGGTCATTCATCAGGTCATGTTTTGATATGGGATTGCCGAGCCAAACCAACAAAGCCATCCGTAGTGTGCGTTCCGTCGAAGAGACGGCTTGATGCGGTCACAACGCTCACTACCCATCCTGCCCATGCAAGTTTGGTAAGGAGGAATGCGTTTTCTATCTTCCAAAATTTGCTACTTTCCTGGATTTAGTCTTTTCTATTCTAATATTCTAATTTTCGAGAATATTTCACTTGTAAATTGTCGACAGAATATTTTGAAAAGTGTAGCGTTACAGTGTTCATGTTGTTGCTGATTTGTACATATGCTAAACTTTCAAAAATTCAATTAAAAACCACTGGGAACTCCGAATTGTCACAGCTTGGGTAGGATGGATTTCCTTTTTCCGTTGATGTAGATAGCACCATCGCCTCCTATTGGTTCAAAAGTTATATCTGCAGCGGCTTTAAGTTCAGTTCGTCCTGTATAGAATAATTTGCGTGTTTTGAAAATGTTCAGCGTGTTCGAAGAAACTTCTATGGTTTGTCTTCAGTGTTCTTCTGTTTTATGTTTATTTGATTTTTCTTCCTTCAACATTCTTTACGTAACTGTATATATCTCCACTATGTAGGAAAATTCAAGAAAGTATAAGTTCACATTAGGGTGTTTTTAGTGATACTTTCAGATCTCTTTCGGCACAGATCTTGGGACCGTTGGCTTTTGTGATGTGAGAGGTGTCACACAAGATTTAGTCACGAATTCTTTTGATGTAACCACTGCCACCGTCACTCAGGTTTGCTATAAACATTGCTGGTACAATACAGTATAGTACAATTTTTTTGTATCCTCATTTCGAATAGGTATCCTTCCACCCAGAATGCGGTGATCATCTTGTTTGTGCTTCAGCAGATGGAAGCCTAGTGCATTGGGACGTATCTTCTGTGACAACGTGAGTTAACCCTTCAATATTTCCGGTGCGATTGTTGACGTTGTGTCAGGGGATTACCAATTTTTGAAAGCGAAACGCCAACTTAGAAAGGTAATGGGATATTTCATCAATATTTTCGAAAAGAGAAATCCAAGAAACATTGACTCTTCTGTGATATTCTCTCATTTACGTCCCTGGATTTATTTAATCGCCTTGTCAGCAAATTACTTTGCGGGCCTTTTAATGCAATATTTCAGAATATGAGATTATTTTCCAGGGCTGTGCTAAGGTATCCTTCCTATGGGGTCAAGGGTAACCCCATCATTGGTGACATCCTCACAACACTTGTCCTGTCTTTACCTCCGTTTCTTCCACACAGTAAGAAATGAAAGTGTGGTTATCTCTTTTGTTTTTAGCAGCAACATTTCATCCGGTACTCGCCAGTCGCCATGGCTCTCAGATTCGCTAAGTCAGGCTGTTGAACTGGACACCTTAAGATGCCCTTCATTCGGAGCCGTAAATGGGTTTTCTATAAAGGGCACAACCGTGGTTGCTGCGATCGATATGTGTATGTTGTATTCATATGAAAACGTTTCTTTCCCTATAGGTTCTGGCTCAGCTACTTGAGTTAGGATGCGGTGGGGATTCTAAAGAAACTTATTCCTCGATCGGCTACGTCGTTCGCAAGCACGTAAGCCATTAGTTTGCTATTGCTGTTTGCAAGCAAAATCTTCCCGTTACGGGTTCATCTTGTATTATCTTCATCATTTTATTGGCTCTTTTTCTGGTGATTTGCTCCTTGTATGTCATCTCTTCAATAAGGGTGTTTCGTGACGTTTTTTGTTTGTTAGGACTCTACTTGAGATTCAAACCTCATTTTCATATAATACAATAAATATTTTATCTCCTTGCAAGTGGTCATTTTTTTCTCTCTGTATGTCGATGAACTGCATTGAATTTGATACCGTCGCTCTGCTAATAACCATTAAATAGTCTAATTGAGTTTTAAGATAAGATATATAAACTTGTAATTCTAATTCGAAATTCAAAACGCATGGAATGCCTATTTTTCTTCAGTAACTTGTTTTCGTTCTCGCAAATGGTAAATGGTAAGGATTGAGTCTTGGAGTAAGTGAAGTAGTTCCCACTGGTATATCATCCTAATAACCATATGGTATGATCAAGAAATTCAGTCCTAATGTATGATGTCGTGAATTTTTGCATTTTTAGACAAGCCGTAAATCTTCTTTTATTTTTGACATCTTCTGATACAATTGGACCCACTTTCACTGGGACTCCAAGTCATACTAGTCATTTTAAGGGCTGCTTTCTTCAAATGAATAAGCCATAAACTCATTTCCAATTGCTGTCTAGATCTTCCATTAGAAATTGCTTATTCTTGACCTGAGTGTATTATGATTCCGAATTGAACCGGAATCGAAACGATCGCAGGCTTAATTATTTTCCGACTTTGATCAGCCATGAGAAGGCTTCTAAAAGCGCAGTTCACGATAAAATGGTTTCTAGGATCCACATTGGATGATTCTGTGGCTCCCTTTATGCCATCCTCCCTTTATGCCATATGTGACACTGTCAGATTGGGAAACATAGGGTGTTGTCAGAGCTCAAAGATTGTATCGTCTCTACTCCACATCTGAAGGCGGGAGTTTTTCACGGCTTTTAGAGGCTGGAAATTAGAACAACTAGTCGTGCAAATGGTGCTAGCGGGAAGCACTTTTGGCTTTATGTAGCCAGCTAGCAGTTGCAGCGACTAAAACCTTGTCCAGTATCCTCCTATGACGTTTCCTTCATGGTTATCCTGTACAACCTTGCTTTTCACTACTTTAGGAGGCATTTTTTTTACCCCCGCGGATGTTCTCGCTTTGTTCACTACCGATGCAATAGTATACATCAATACTTTCTGTCAGGGGGTAGACCGGTTTAGGTGTAGAAGACTGGAAGGATGGACG